GAACTCATACTGGCATCATCCTTTCCAGAAAATAAAAATACAGAAAATTAAGGCATTTGCTTAAATCAATCAACTAATTAATGGTAGAATCTAAGATCAATCTAAGTCTCTTAATTTCTAATTTGCTTTCTACTGGACCGTATATCTGCAATGCTGACTAACTTGGATAGATCAGTCATATTTGATATAAATGTGTGAGCATCTGATAGATATAATTTTAGTATAGAGAGCTTGGAGGTTAAGATAAAATAAGTAGAATTTGTTTCAAGAGAAATTGCCTCTTCAAATGCACTTTATTCTTTCATATTTTGAATTTTTAATACATTTTCATTTTGGAATAGTTTTAGGTTCACAGAGAAGTTACAATGATAGTACAGACAGTTCGCATATATGCTGCACACCCAGTTTCCTCTCTTGTTGACATTTATTTTTAAACTAAGAAATAAATAACTATCATCATATATCATCTGAAAAGTCAGAAAAGTGAGAATAATAAGTAGATGTGTAATATAGAGTTATCATTTTTCTCATTTGACTCATGATTAAGGCAAGATGTTGTTACTTGTCCAAAGTCAGATAAAAAAATCAATGACACATGAAATTAGAAACAGAAGATGTGTTAAATGAGGGATTATGAGGATGAATGAATTAATGTCTTTGAAATCACTTCAAAATGTGTGGGCTTCTTAAAATATGTGGACTCCTGCCTAAAGACAAATCATTACTAATATTTAACTTGCTAATCTACTTTCCAACACAACATGTTCTTTCATTAGCTCCTTGTTTATTTGCAACATGGCCTGGCTTGGTTCCTGGTATATTTGGATGCTGAGTGAAGACATGCAAGATTTTCCTGATTTAAAAAGATAGCAAAGTAAATGACAGTGTTTTTGTAATGCAAACTTTAGAAAAAGAAATCATGTACTTATCTCTTAAACAAAAAAGGAAAGTGTTTTTTATTTTAATCAACTTATCAACTTACTGGTACTTCTTATTTTTTTTTTTATTTATTTTTATTTTATTTATTTATTTATTTGCTGTTGGGTATTTGGTTGCCACTTAAAAAGGTGATCAGATATTCATTCCTGAGAAACATGGCTCTCCAGGAAAATCATTCAAATATAAAACATCTTAACTAAAATATCATTTTTCCTGTTTTTAAAGTTTTTCCCAAAAAGTGAAGTATAATTAGAGATATATAAATATCTGTTTCAGAAAGTAAAACTTTCATCTTGATTACTAACTAGTAAATGAGATTTTGTGTATCGAGTACTTAGCTGCTAATAGCATAATAAAACTTTTCCTGTTATACTCTTGATTTCTGTCAAGATTCTTCTCCTGCTTCTACAAATTTCTCTGCATTTAAGCAACATCAGATAAATGGGCCATGGTTGAAGAGGTTTTCCTCTAGTTAAATAGAGGACAAGCATACGAAGTTCTCTGAAGCCAAGTGTCAACTATAATGCAGGCCAGATTTCCTCTCAACTTTATCAGAGTCTCCAGTCAAAGACAATGGTGTGCTGCTATGGACCATACACAGGACTTGGACTCAGAACATTGTGATAATCATGAATCTGCCCTTGGGTTTGTGTTCAACCTTGAGTATTTTTATAGATATCATATCTTTATTGATAAGATAGTTGTATTAAACTTACTTTCACAACATTTGGGGGTTTTGGAATGAGATATTACATGACAGAATTTTTCATAGACATAAATGGCCACATTATGGTATTATTACATTTTAATATTTCGTTAAAACTTTAAACATAAATGCAGAGCTTATGTAGGAAATTGTTTAAAGAAAAATATTGTTTATTCCTCATTCAACATCCAGAATAATATAAATTTTGCCCAATTCTACTAAAAGAAATGGAGATACCAATCAACCTGTACACTAAACATTGAATCAAAATTTATATAAATAAAATGTAAAGTAAGTTTCCAAAACTAGCTTTATCAGTTCCCTTACTGTCTGAAGTCAGATGCCTTATATAATGTATATATACACAAATCATTTTAGTAAATGTTAATATTAGTTTCATACTTCATATAAAATTTAAAACCTCATCTGGGGTTTGTTCTGGGAGTGTATCCATCATTTGTACCCTTGTGCCAGGAAAAGAATGTTTAGATTCCAAATAACTGAAACAGAAGCAAACTTTTGGAATACAACTTACTTAATAATTTGGCTATTGTTAATCTAGGCTTTCTATGCAGTTGGCAACGCTGAAGACTAAATAATGATTTTTTAAAACAAGTATGAAATAAAGAATTGATGTTAGGATATATGAAGTAACAAGTACAAAGAGGTTAAGAAGAAATAAAAGCTGTCCAAATAAACTAGCATTCCTAAAACTGGACATCTGCTCAGATGAATGGTTACAAATAACATGCATTTTATGTGAATAAAGACTAAAATTTGGGGAAAAAAAACAAAATTAGAAATATATACATATGTGTGTTTAGAATTAGAAATTCAAGAAGGAACAAATTTGATCCGAAGCATAAGCAAAGCAGTAAAGAAAAAAGTTCAAAAAAATTGGAGAAGTAACATTTAAAAAATATTTCTTTTTAAAGGAATATTTCTACCCATCTTGTAACTTAAATGTATGCCTACAGTGGAATTTATTAAGGTCAACTGAATTAATTGTAAATTTTAATAAGCTTAAAAGCAAGCACAGCTAATCTGAAAATGAGTGGGGGGAATTCTCACGATAATAACTTTGCTTTCTAAATTTGTCCACAGGGTAATTTTCTTTCATCCTTCCCATTAAAGATTTAGGCACGAATAAACCCATCTCAAAGAAACACCTTAATAAAACAAAATTAACTCAATGTTAGATTTTTGCAATGCCAGGTTTTCATAAATCCATTTATTAAAATATATCATAAATATAAACTAAATTTTTAAAATGTACAAGTAAACACTTTTTTTTTCAACCTATATAACAGCCTGGCATGTATTCAATTACTCTGAGAGAAAATGTTAATTCCATATGATATATTCTTTCTAGAATCACATTTCCTTAGATACTAAGTGAAGAAAAAATTGGGCTTTGGAATGAAACAGATCACTACAAAAATCATAGTGCTACCTCTTACAATCTTAATGATCTTGGGCAAGTTATTGAGCATCTCTAAGGCTCAGACTTCTTCTAATGAAAAGTGGAAGAGATAATAATATCAGGATTTTTGTAAGGATCAAATGAAATGACTTTACATAAAAGAGCTTAGCAGGTCCTCATAATGTTAGTGTTTTATAAAATGGAATTATTTCCTACTATAATTGATTTTATAAACTAAGTTGACAGGCTGGAGAGACAGCAGATTATACTCAAAACAATTAGTTAAAATAAAATCTAAATTCTGAATGCTTCCTATATTCCGGGGACTGTGCCAGGTGTCTGATTTACATCATTAATTTCTTTAAATCCTCATAACTAACTCATAACAATGAGTTAGGTGCTACAGTTGTAACCATTTGACTGATGAGAAAAATGAAGTTTAAAAAAGTGAATTGGCCAAATATCAAATGGTCAGGCACTCTGTAGTCCTAACTCGGACTATTCCAAAGGTTTCATTAATTACCTTTGAAAACAGTCATGAAAATGAAAATGGGCATAATGAAGTAAAGTGCAGGAATTTCAAAGGTGGCAGTAGCAGTAGTAGCAATAGTAAAAACAAAATGTCCTTAAAACAATAAAAAAAAATGCATCCTGTATAGCTCCTGGAAAAGATGCCCTGAGAGTATGATTACTTATCACCTCCCAACTTCAAGCCTCTATGGTTGCTTGTGCCATTTCTATAAAAATCTGTGATTTTAAAAAGAAATTTCATCTGTTATGTATCTTGAAAACAATCTCATTACAATCAAAGACTTCAGACCCACATTAACTTGGATGGTCATATTTTTTGGCTTAATTTGTGGTTCCATAGGAATTCCCACATTCTATATATGGGACAATAAATTGAATGAGGCAAAAAGGATATCACTTCTTCATTCTTATTTCAATCTGTGGGGCATTTTGTATCCACAGTAAAGAGCAGGGGCTTAAACCACTTTTCAAATCTCTACCAATTTTCCTGATTTTATAGCATATTATAACTTACACAGATTTGTGACTCATAGATTTATAATCAAATTAAGTGCTTGTGATAATTTTCAATAACTTTATAAAATAATTATAAAATGGCCATTTGAATCTCATTCTATCATAAGATGTACTGATAATCACTAAACAGCGAGAAGATCTTGCCTTCATATTTTCTAATTTAAATAGGGAATGAATTAAGTCTTAATGAAAAGCCCTTTATTTTTTCTACTGAACATTGTTTTCTTTTTATCAGTCAAAACATTTACTTTCAAAGATTGAGATGATGACTTCACACTTCCAATACTTTAATTATAGTTATTTTGTATTGCACAACATGAATGAATAGCTCTCTTATCTATCAAATAGTGAGCCAATAAATTCATTGACAGCCCTTAAATTAATTACCTATTCTTCATTTGACACTTTCTCTTGTAATCACCTTTTATGCATGTTAATTTTAAGTTATAAAATATTGTCAAAACCTTAGTCAGAATATACTATCAATAGAATACAAGAATTCCATTTTCTGTGAGCTCTCAAAATATGATTCTATTTCTATCCTTCATCTATCTACCTACCTACCTACCTGCCTATCTATCATCTATCTATCTCCATATATCTATGTATCTATCATATTTCTATCTATCTATCTATCTATCTACCTACCTATCTAATTCATTTATTATCCCTATCTGAAAACAAATTTAGAAGCATGGTTTCTTGAAAGGAGCAGTAGAGAAGTTAATTCAGTTACAACAGATTGCCAAATAGAAAAAAAATTGAAATAACTAATGTGAAATAAATGAAGAAATTCAACAGATTATAAAAAACGAAGGGTGTAACCATGCAACTCCATGGACAGTGACTACACATACAAGCAAATGAAAGCAGCTGACCACGTACCCACACACCTTGGCAGAGGTGCACTCCACACTCGTCGGCCACCACCAAGACAGATGATCTCTGATGTTCCTTCCAGTCGATAACCCGATGAGCATGAGAAGGTCAGAGTGTCACCAACCCCAAAGTTGAACCCAATTCGACTACCATATTGAGGAATGCCAGGATCTTCACAAGGTTCAAGGTTATATTCTGTAAATTAGAGAGAAAATTTCCCCGCAGGGGAGGAAAGGGCAAAGAAAATGATAGTGGTTACTTTTAAGGGTGTATTCCTATTGTTTTTAGAACCTAGTCATATATTTAGAAGTGACTATATGAATAGCTATCAGAACATACAAATGGCACACATATGTTTCTTCTTTTGTAAAATAGCTAATAACTTGATAAATATTTGTATGTGCGGTATTCAATATAGACGAGAAAATATCACCTTCTGAATAATAAAATATAGCTTTTTATCTTATTGTTTTTTTCTGCATTAGAAACATTTTTATTTCATATATTTTTGACTTATAATGGTATAAGAACTGCATATTTTCAAACACAAAATAACATTTGAAATGAAATCATTTGCACTTCTGAAATGCATTTTGCTTAATATTTTACATTTAAATGATAAAGGCCCTTCTGCTTCTTGTATACAAGAAGATCAGTTAATGCATATTCTGAAAAACACATGACTTGAGATGCAAGGGTTTATGTGAGACTGAAGTGACCACACATTGAAAATTATTATATTATGGATTTTTATAGGAACTTTTCCCCAGGCAATAAATGAGCATTATGAAAATGAACAACTAAACAGTCTTCAGGGTATGAAACAGTAGAGTTGATTAAACATTATAATTTATATACAGTCCTAAGAAGAAGTAGCTTATCTAAAAATATTCCCAGAGCAGTTACTGTGTAATTGCAATAAAGAACAAGAGGCATTGCTTCATGTTGATTAGCTAATATTTTATGCTTTAAAAAAATAACTTGGATTTTTTTTTCTAACATTCTAGGTTATGTTCGTTTACTACTCATGATAAAATACTTTTATGATTTTAGCATCCCAATATTTTCATCCAAATACTAAAATAGTTGTTTAAGAACAAGGTTAGTGCTTGTATCATTTTAATATTAGCAAGTTGGCATAAGATTTACTTATTAATTTGTGTCTGTATAAATAAATAGCTAGTTGTGTTCATTCAAATTGAAAGTAGAGCTGTAAGTGGTGGGAATACATTTTATTCTCTTTGGTCTCATACTTTTTTTCTCCCTGTAATCCAAGTAATACTATTGTCTATAAATAAGATTATACTAGAAGAAAGGAGTAACTATGCTAATTTGATTACAGATTATCTAATTCCAGAATAATAAATTAGGTTTATCTTAATACTAGCCTGTTGGTTATGCCTTCTATGTCTTTTCCTAGGCACATAAAACAAGGAAATCACTGGATTAATTCTCATTTCATTTTTGAGTCTAACTGAAATTTTAAAATATATATTTTAATTTTTATTTTGCATTTACTAGGCATTTTAGCTAGTTTTGACCTCTGTTAGAATTTTGCAGAATTTTTGTAAATTAAAGAAATGTAATTATTGTACTTCCAGTAGATTTACAGCAAATTAATTAATTTTTGCTTTTCCCCTTATTTATTACTGGAGATAATCTTCAATCTATTCCAATCTTTCCTTAAACTTGACAGATATTACTTTGCTTTCTTTTTTTTAAACTTTTTCTGCTATTCTGCTATTTTTCACTCTCTGTTTCATCATTAGTTATGCTCATATCTTGAAAAAATTGATGTTTTTTAAAAGTTATTGAATGAGTCCTTTTGTTTTTTGTTTATTTTCTCACCAGAGAATGTAATGTTAAATCCTTCATATGATATTGAAAAATCTGAAATGAAACGCAATTGAGCCCTGAAATTTCCATAGAGACCAGCATTGATTGTTGGAGGAAGATCTGAACCAGTCAGGCGTGCCAGTGGTTGGGTAAAACTGCCATTCTCTGTGATCAGTAAGTAGTCATGATGGTCTTCCAAATGAAAAGTGTGGAAGTTGAACTGCACACCTATTAAGAAAAATAGGAACACTGAATTTACAGGTAGATTAGTAAAACACAGAGAGTTACTGTCAAACTACCTATTAGCCAGGGCTTTCCTTCTAATTAAATTTTCTGAAAATGAGAGGCATTACTATAAAATATTCCAAATATATATTGTATTATTCTTTTTATGTGTGTTTTTCCTTCAGATTCATTAAAAGAGATATAATGAGTCATGTCTTGGAAACTGCTTGAAAATAAAATTAAAAAATCAATGCCTGAAAAAAATTACCTGGTTTTCTGAAAATTTCAAAAGAAATACATATATTTTGTTTACAATAGAGGTGCAATTTCCTGGTGAATACTGTACATGCCTCCATTTTCTTCTCCAATCCCTTCAACCAACATAAAAGCAATGTTCAATATAGAACTTAACTTCCAAATATGCTGTTTATTTTAGAAGATAAATATAAAACAGGCATAGGGAATGCTATTTGTTAAATGAATGTAATTATTCTCCATTTATCTGTCACAAATTTCAACCTGTGCATATAATATGCAAAACATGTATATATAAGTGTTCAGCTAAATGAGTTTCCATAAACCAAATACTTTTGCAAATAGTATCCAAATCAATAGTCACAATAATACAAACACCCAGAGCCTTTTTAATAAAACTTTTCTGTAATTTCAGCTTTCCAGAGGTAACCACTCACTCAACTTCTAAAGCACAAACTAATTTTGCTGCTTTGTATATATATTTTGTAGTTTATGGAATGGAATCATATATATTCTTTTGGATCTGACTTATTTTACTCAACATTAGGTTTGTGAGATTTCTCAATATCATTGTGCGTAGTTGGGGGTGGTTCATTTTTGGTGATGTATAGTATAGCATTCCACCTTGTGAATATACCACATCTATTTACCTGTTCAACTGCTGATGGTCACTTAAGTTGTTTGCATTTTATCACAAATGTAGACAGTGCTGCCATGAACATGTGAGTATATCTTTTGTGAATGTGTGTGCTTTTTTCTGTTGTGTACGTATCTAGGAGTGGAATTACTGAATGATGGGGGTAATAATATATGTGTTGCTTTAACAAATACTGTTTTACAAAGTGGCCATGTCGATTTACATCTCCATAGACAATATGGTTGCTCCATGTCTTCTCCAATACTTGAAAATCTGGGGCTTTTATATTTGCTCCTTTCTAGTGAGTATGTAGTGGACTCCTTGTGGTATCATGTTAGTATTTAATTACAGTGTCAAGAACACATATAAAAGACTAATGACTTCACACAAATACACACACTCAAATACACACAACATACTGTGTAAGGAGCCATCTGAAATAAAAAATGGCTACCACAGGGACCCTTCCCTTGAAGTGCTTTATTTTTGTACCTGACCTAAAAAATTACCCAAGTATTTGCTAAGAAAAGTCCAAAATCTGAGAGTATGACAAGTAACATTTTTATTCATTTACATTTTAGTTTCAAATGTTGGGAATTCTTAAGAGTCTCCATTGTTTAAAAAAAAAAAAAAAAAGAGGATAGAAAATGAGACCAAAACAAACAGACTGAAAACACAAACATTACCACGACAAGGTTATTACTGCATAATGAACCAGAGATTTCATATTTGAGAAGTATTTGAAATATATAAGGTACTATTTTCAAATTATTTTTCAAAATGTAAGGTTTTTTTTGTTTGTTTTTGTTTGTTTGTTTGTTTGTTTGTTTTCTCCTCTCTATAATGGGCAGGAATACAAACCCCCTTTTGGGGGGAGTCCAAAAATTAAGTGAGTTTTTCAAATGTTCTATAGTGTAAAATCAGTATTGATTCTAGACAGATGGAAGGAAAATGGGGTATTGACATAATAAACAGAAGATGTTCACTGTCCAGATTAGTTCCTGCAAAATAATGTAAAGGTAGAAAGTTCAGATAAGTAAGTCTTATTTCTCCTATAAAGCTAAGAAAAAAATAGTTGGACAATAGGAGAGTAGATTGAAAAAAGAGAAATAAATCGTCATGTATGCTATATTATTTACATTTTTTAAGAAAAAAAGTGTGCTTGTTCCGAAATACATAGAATGAATTATTTTAGAATTTAATTAATTAATTATTGGTGCCAACAAAGCCACTGTTAAGTATTATTTACCTTTCTGAGCCCTACTTTCTCCATCTGTAAAATAGGGCTCTAATAGAGTTGTTTTGCAGTTTAAATAAGGTAACATGAAAATGACTTCGCATAGTGACTGGCACAGAGGAAGTATTCAGAAAGTGTTACTGCTATTAATCAATTTCCCAAAATAAGAGCTAATGTTTTTCCTGTTATTTAGCCCTGGCAAGCCACTTTATAAAATGAAGCTACTATTCAAGTCATGGATTAAATGGTAATATCCGTTTTCTTTCACTACTGCAAAACAACTTAAGACTTTCGAAGTTGTGCCGAAGGTCAATTAATCCAAATAAGAAAATGATCCTGAGAAACTACTATATTCTAGTCATTATAGAATATAAATATTTAGAAGAATGTAAGTAACTCATGGCCTATCTGAGGAAAAAGGTACATGAACCAAAATTTTAATCATTCTGCCAAACTGGTTAATATAAGTCAATATAGGAGCATAGAAATAGAGGTAACTAATTTGTCAAAGGGGTCCGTAGAGGAGTATAAAAATGACCTTCAAACGTAATGACCATCCAGGTCTGGAGGCTCACACTTGTAATCCTAGTACTTTGGGTGGCCTAGGTGGGTGGATTGCTTGAATCCAGGAGTTTGAGATCAGCTTGGGCAACACGGCAGAATCCCATCTCTACAAAAAACTACAAAACTTAACTAAATGTGGTGGCATGCAACTGTAGTCCCACCTACTCAGGAGGCTGAGGTGGGAGGATCACCTGAGCCCAGGAAGATTGAGGATGCAGTGAGCCAGGAACAGCCTGGGTGACAGGATGAGAACCCATCTCAGGAAAAACACAAAAATAAAAACAAACCAACAAAAAAACCCAAAGCAATGACCTCCTAAAGCAAAAAAGGCAATGACTTCCAAAAGCAAGAAGTTTGTGATGTTGCAGACTATGATAGACATTTTGGAAAGAAGGGGATTACACAGGCAAAGACACACAATTCTAACAAGGCAGGGAGAAAAAGTCAGTGGTTTCAGTATCGTAATTACTTCTCGTAAGAATGCTAATTCAGGATGCCCAATAAAGGTAATTTATGGTACAGATATATGTATATTAAAGGCTTGTACTTAAAGTCAAAATAGCTTTAATATCTAGGTTTTAGTTACAGTCATGCCACCAGCTATCACCTAAAGGGTGCCATTTGACTTATTTTTTTCCTAATATGTAAAGTAATAGGAGTGGACTATGCTTTATTTAAGGACAGCCTAACTTCTAAGACTCTAAGGGTTTTTTTCTGAGTACACTTTTTTTCTCCAGGTTTCCTGTAACTATTTATAATTAGCATCTTGATTTATAGAATGTGTTTAAGGAAAATCTCTCATGGTGTCCCTGCAAGTAAGGAGCAATGTAGGCTGAATGACACTGTAGTTAACTGACTTTGAAACTATTGAACAATTATATGTGTTCAAACACTTTGACTTCATGTTTAATGGTGAAGAGATTACAGATGGCACATTTAAATTTTATATTTCTTAAATACTTATTTAGATCTATACTTGTTAAGATTCCTATAAACTCTTAAAGTACTAATGATCATACTTACATAAGAACATTCTGACTATATAATGTAAATGTAAGTGAAATGTAAATCATTTCAAAATGATCTCATAGGAAGTCTGAATCAAAATCGATATGATAAAATGTAACAGGGATAAATATAAAAGTTTGCACTGAAGATAGAAAAAAAAGCAATTGTATAATTATAGAATTTTAGGAATTTAATTTATCTGTATTTTAAGTCCCAGTAATCTAAAAAGATGATTTACATTACTACAAACTTCTTATCAATTAGTAGTATAACATAGTAGCAAAAAAGTTAATTAACACAAATACTTTCTTCTTGAATGAAAATAATTTTAGTGTTACACTGTGCCACGATGTGTTCAGTTTTAGAAAACCACATTTTAAAGAGATAAGCTGGAACGTATCCAGAGAAAGTTGATTAGAGTGGTGATGAACAGGAAAATGTTATCTTATGATGAATTAAAGGAACTAGGAGTGTTTAGTCTGGGTAGAAAAGACTTAGAATAAAGATCTAGGGATAGAGGACATGAAAAACATGGTAGTTTCAGAACTGTGAGTTGGTGTGTTTGAGGAGCTTTTGGTTGGAGCAAAGATTAGGCTGCTTTTTTGGTGTAGCTCCAGAGAGCAGAACAGGGATAACGGCTGCAGAATAATTTTTAAACAACTAAATATGTGAAAAATGAGCAAGTTTTCCCAAGGAGTACAGTCCTTATCAACAGAAATATCCATAACAGGTCAGTTCTTCCTGTTTCTGAAACATTATACAGAGAAACTAGTTTTCTGAGAAAGAGGTTAGACTATATTACCTTGAATATTTCTCCCAACTTTGAGATTTTCCTTCAAGAAACTTTGGCTACACTTTGGAAGAGTTGCACTTCAAACAAACTCAGCTGGCTCTTAAAACAAAGGCATCTACATCTGCATCTCTTGCCATGTAAATACGGATTTAATTAACACTTGCAACCTGTGAAGATGCAAAACTTTAAGTGTTAATTAAACCTCTATTTACATAGCAAGCAGTATGTAGCACTCCACTCCCTTTTATAATATCAGGGAGCTTATTTTAAACTCCATTAATCTACTTCACAGTGGAATAATAGGATACTTGTTTAGCTTCCAGCAAAGAGTCTTCTACTAATAAAGAATGACAAAAATCACAGTTTACAAAGTCTTCTACTTCATTCCTGCTATTCAGTACCAGAATACTCGTTTTAAAAACACTTTTTTCTCAATAATATTTAATTCATTGTAGAAATCTAACTAAAATTGTCCTGACATAATTCTCACTTCCTGATAAAATAATATGTAATTTTATCAAAGGCAAACTTTATTGTGAAAACACAATACATTTAAATGTATTAAACATAAGGCTTTAGTTTTAATTGTAACATCTCCTTATTGCTAAAAGTATTTTATTTTGATTTTTTCTATTTTTAGATTTTCTAAAAAAAATATTTATTTTCAATAAATACAATTTAGTAGTAAAATTCAATAATGTAATACAGCAACAGAGCTAAAATAAAGGGTACTTATCAAAATCAGGTTTTAAAATGAATAAAGTAGCTCCTTTAGAAGATCAGCCCATGGAGATCTTCAAGAAAATAACTTTAATATATCTTTTGTTTTCATATATTGGAATGGTCATTTTACCATTGATAAGTTGTTGCCTTGATAAATTATACTGTACCTTGATAAATTTGAAGTACCTACTTATACATTTCTAATTATAAGCAATATTTGCAAAAATGGATGGTAAATTAAACATGAGTAATTAATTGTTTAGCAGTCCTTCTTATTAAGCACTAAGAAAATGAATTATTAATTACGTAAAATTGTTTGTTATAGATTCCTAAAGGGATACATGTCATTCTTTATAGGATTCCTGTCAAAACAGTGAAGTAGGTTGTAAAAGTTTTATGAGTCTGGTTGAATCTCGTGAATGAACCATATTTAATACTACAGAGCCTTTTACTTATTTGTTTATTTGTAAAAGGACATTTATTAACATCTACTTATGCAGAGTGCAATTTTACTCTATTTATGTGAGACATATCTGCAGCTCTGTACTAAAGAATCTGAGACACAGATATTTATAGAATGCCTATAAATTAAATAATATAATTATTATAAACAAAAACAGAAACATTCATAAACAAGTTTGTATAAACATATACTAGTTGCTTTAAAATTGGCTCAGCATATCAGAGCATCTCATATTCCCCTTTGAACTCCTGAAATCAACTTCTTAACACTATGTCAGAAACTACAGCCATCTTATTTGACGTTTTCTTGCTACAAAAAATTCAAATATCATTAGTTTATTATATCAAAACTAAACAAATCTCTCATAGCACCAGCCTGGTAAAAACATGAGCACATTGTAATACTATAGAACAGTAAATATAATTTTTGTGGCAATTATTTAAATTGAAATGTGTTTTAGCATACTGTAGTATTGATCTGTTTTTGCTCATGCAAAAGAACATGTAAAGGAAAATTAAATAAAAATAGATTCAATGAAAATTCAGAAGCAGTCCAATTATTATTTCATGAGGCAAATTACCTTTTCCATGGGTTACATCAACAGTCCATGTACAATTCAGAGAATTTGGATAAAATTCCGGGTAACCAGGTGATAAGATTGTTCCACTAGGCCCTCTAACATCTCCTCCACATAATGCTGAAATACAAAGAAATAGAGCCATGTGATCAACAGTGAGAGAGACAGAGGGTGAATAAATCTCTTATCTCCTTTCTTGAATTGAGGAGTCGCATTATCTTTGCTTAAGCTACATCCTTGTAATAGCAGGTGTGTATTAAGACCTTTTCCAATACTAGTAAATCATTTTATCCATTGTATCACTAGAGAAGAAAAGGGTACTCAGTAGCATCTGAGAATTAGTACTGTACCCAAGGGAACATGACTCAACTTTCCACATTTGAATTTGAAGTATGTGCTAATACATTTCTAATTATAAGCAGTATTTGCATAAATTGGTGGTAAATTAAATATGAGTAATTAATTGTTTAGCAATCCCTCTTATTAAGCACTAAGAAAATGAATTGCTAATTGTATAAAATTGTTTGATATAGATTCCTAAAGGGATATGTGTTATTCCTTATAGGATTCCTTTCAAAACTATGAAGTGAGTTGTAAAAGTTTCCAAGGCTGCTTCTGTACTTCTGCATTTTTCTAGGAAATATTATAAACAAAAAGGATCTTTTGAAGGGATGTAGTTTTGTAAGTAAATATTCTAAGATAATAAAAATAAGTTAATCTTAGGTCAACAAATAATATTTGAGTTGATATTCATTTCCTTGAGAAAAAATCAAGGTCTTCTACTATATTCAACACCCATCAGTGCTTATGGTACACCAGACAATTTTATCAAAATTGAAAACTGGAGGAGGCAAAAAATATATATATATATATTGCCTAGTAAGCATTTTTATTCTAGTGTGAGCAGAGAATTTGTTGACTCCTTATTCTATTTCACTTGAAAAGGCCAACTCTTAGACACAGCCAAGGGTAGTAAGAATCATGAATGCAACATGTACCCTTGTCTAATTTGATCCTTGCCCCACTTCCCCAGCACACTAGAAAAGTGAGTTTTGAAGTCTCTCCAAAGCACCTAACACTATAACATATGAATTTGTTAAGTGAAATATGATGAGTGAAATGTCTACTGAATTAAAACCTACAGTCTCTATTTCAAAGGACTGTATGTCGTGCAGCTAGAATAAAATTTCTCAATGAACACAAGAATGAAAATTAAGGGAGTTAAATTAATTTAAAATACACAAAAAGGTAACAAAAAAGAGAGATGCAAACTTTTAGAAAGGACGCCAGATATGTGCCCCTGAGCATGCACATGTATGTGTGTATTTGTGTATCTGTGTGTTTGTGTGCATGTATATATAAGAAGTTGAGAGGAAATTTTTCTGTATATCAGTATTCTTTCAAATAAAGACACTTTGTCAAGTATCCTACTTCTTGAGAAGTTTCTTGGGAATTGTTTTGTCTGTAAGCTGTACCTATATACCTTTGTAGAAGGGGAAACTTAAAGAGACATTCTGAAGGTAAATGAATAAATCTTTGTAACACATAAACACATTTAAAAATTTAGGAGGAATGCTCAACAGCTAATATATTATAACAAATATTCATAATATTACTTTGACTAGAATCAGATGGGAAAATATAGAATATGTTTTTAAAACAAAGTGAAGATTTCTGTTATTTGAAAATAATTATCATTGGATGCAGACATTGAAGAGAATGGACTTAAAGATGGAATTTCATAGTAAATAGTGGGGAAAGAATGTAATTTAAGTTCTTTTGAAAGATGAAACTAAAAACATAAAGACACATAAATTTTATTTAATATCTAATAAAACAGGATAAAATTACAACGATTTACTAATTCTTACCAAAAACAAAACTAAACACTGTTTTGATCTTAAAATGTAGCTGGCACTATTCTGCAGATTTTATTTATGTTAACTCAGCCCCCACAACAACTTTTTGAGAAGAATGCTGTAATTATGCGGTTTACAGATGAGAAAGCAAGTATAGATAGAACTCAGTCTAGTTCCAGGGTCTATGATCACAAGCAGATTCTTGAATCGTGTTGATGTTTTTTCCATGTTAACAGTACTGTTTTAGCAACCTATGATGTTCTTTACTTATGTTTGATTTTGTGGCACTTCCCTCACAAATGATCAATATATTAAAAAAAAAAAAAAATCAGGGGCATCCTTTATTTTCTCAGAGATTCATTTTATCCTTTTATGTTCAAATCACTTTTTTTGTGCACCCAACACCTATTGTGTCAGTATCCTTGTCTATGTTCTTTAATTGATCTATCTCTTTTGAATTCTCATTTGCCAGTGGCTTCCTGTGACTGAAATAGTTCTCCATCATCACCATCATCAGCCTCATCATTTTCATCAACCTAATGAAATTTTTCATTTTTCTAAATGAGTTTATTTTACATTGCCAATGTTTTAAATCACATTTGTTTTATACTGTCAGCTTTTTAAGCAATTACATGAGATTGTACAGTGACAGATGCTAATGCTAAATAGAAAGTATCTTTGAGTTGGATTAATTTTAAAAGTAGTTAATTCATTACTGAATATTCTTTCATACTGATGATGTTTGCTTATCTAACAACTATTCCTCCTATTGGAAAGATAAGAATTTGTAAGAGCTTATTAAAATCAATGATGAATGACCTAAAATATTAAGATTAATAAAAAAGATTTAAGTTTTTATATGAGATATTTTGTTTTATATTTTCAGGTACAGGATGGAATTTAAATGTATTGTAACAGATATAATGGTATAGAGATGATTATGAAAATTTCTCCAAAAACAAATGACTTAAAAAGTGAATGCTGAGATTTAAGTCCGTTTAAGAGAATGTGTAGGCCATTCACTTAGTAAACGTTATTAGAACAAGACTGTCTAAAACAGGTGCCATGGATCTCCTGTGTTATCTCCTGTTATGTGTTCAGAAGGAATTCCAATTTATTGCAGCAACCTTGCTAATCGATTCCATGTGTCTTCAGGGATACCAACAGTTTTGTAAGAGACATAATAGGATTACATGTTCTTGTGAATGAGATAGACAATTGTGTATCAAGTGAATCTTTGAAAAACTAAAGAACTCAGAGCATGATGAAATAAATATATATATATTTATATGAAATATATATATTTCATATATATATATCTCATATATATATGAAAAACTCAGTTACTTTATGTGAACTCAAACAGCTGGCCAAAAAAAAGCACCTAAAAGGATAAAAAGCATCTAAAAGCTAAAAATCTGAGGCACAATAAGCCATTATAGTGACAGTTCAGTTAATGGAGAACAATTAGTCAGATACACAGTAATCTTGGGCAGTAGAGTTTTTTATCCCTGATTTTTGTAACATATGATACTGCTTTTTCATAGGATAAGTATCCATTATAATTTCAAAATAGTGAAGTCTCTTCAAAAGCTGAGCACTTGAATGTAATTGCCCAGACCTGTAAATTTATACCATGTCCTTGTTAGTGATACACACTGGGCCAGCACAAATCTGTCTATATCCAAAATGGACAATTTTTAGACCAGGATCCATCAAAACACTTTCAGTATTGTAATGAAGCATGGAAATAACCATCTATTACAAATCCCATTAATTTTTAATTTGTTGGTTTGTTTGCTTTTAATCTCATCTCTTCTTTTCCTATTTTCAAGTCTCCCTGTTATGCCCTTAAACTGAGACTGTTCATGCTTGCTTATACTCTAGACAAACTTGGTTATCTTGAATTCTAGGAATCTAAACCTGAATCCAGGTATTCATTTGCTACTTTAACCTCTGTACTCAAACCTTTTAATAAGACTAAAGAAATAAGGGAAATAATGAGGTTTAAGTCCATTCAGTTCCATTTTGGTCTGCCTCTTAATGATTTGAGTGACACTGAATCACTTAACCTTTTTTAGGTTAAATTTCTCACAAAATAGCCACATTGTTTCTCAAAGTGGGATAATTTGAGTTTAAAATTGGGGTCTCAGGACAGAAGGTGAAAACAGAGCATGTCTTAGGCAATTCAGGACATAGCATACCTACACATCCATTAAAAGGGGAGGTGTCTTAAGCAACAATGCCTAGTTCCTGGAAGGTTGCTTCAAACCCAGCATCTGATCTTAGCCCTACGCCATTACTCATGACAATCTCATGTACCTAGTGCATAAAAAACATCATTTATCTGTGACTTTTAGCATACATGCAGCCTTTAACACTTGGTATGTTGGACAAAGCAAAATGCTCTCCTAAAATTTCTGGTCTGGTCTACCTTAGAGCCATTCAAATCTCAGTTTTATGAAAAACACTGCAGAGATATATAGGAGTAAGTTCTAATCAAAGTATCTAGTAAAAAAAAAAAAATGTTTGTTTTTTAAATCAAATCTCTTATGTGTCATAGGACATCTTTTACAAATACATGTTAAAGCAACAAGAACACCTGGTTCTTGATTATAAGAATATAAGAAAAATAAGATAGAGTATAACTGTTAGCCATTCAAGAAGAATGTAGACACTGTTTATGCTCAACAGTCTTTTTATAGTGTATATACAGCATAATTAATAAATACTAAATAACAAATCAATAACTGGTTATAAGGTAGCAATAAATGCCATGTAAATATAGAGAGCTATAGAGTTTAGAAAAAGTCAAGATTACGCCCAGTTGCTTTGTTCAGGAAAAGCATGATCAAGTTCATAACCTTTAAAAGTTGACTAGAATTTTGATATGCATAGTTGAGGGAAGGGCTAGAACATTCCAGGGGAAAAAGAACAAAATTAATGAAGGCAAAAACCAGAAAATATATATGCAAAACCAAAAGCAAAAGTATTTCCGTAAGTACATTTCATGAAGAATATAGCTTTCTTTCATTCAACACAGATTTATTGTGTGCCAACTGTTTGACAAGGACTCTTCTTGGCATTGAGAGTACGACAGTGAGTCTAGCAGAGCACCTACTACATGACATGTATATTCTGTTAGGTAAAGAGACAATAAATACCAAAAAATAATGTAAACAGAGTGAAAAATACTAGGAAGTAAAATTTAAGTGGCACGAAAGGGGTTACTCTTTCACATAATTACTGAGGCAAGTATTGAGTATATAGTTGTGAGTGAAATTAGGGAGTGAGTCATATGGTTCTGTGGGCGAATCCTGATTCAGGACAAAAGGAAAGGAGGCTTAGAGGGACAGAATGGAAGGAATTGGAAAGGGTTCTCATATTGGGAAAATTATTCAGGAGACACGTGTAGTTGGAATGGAGTAGCATGAATGAGGAAGAGAGTGGTGAAGGATGAAGTATGGGATGTAGTAAGGGCCCAGAATACCTGGAGTTAATCAAATCATGCAAAAGTCTTTGGATTTTATTCTGCCTGGGATGAAAGGTGTAAGAAGGTTCTAGGTAAGGGGTTGTCCTGATTTGCCTTAGTTTATAAAAGCTTACTCTGGCTGCTTGTTGAAAACTAGACCTAAAAGTTTAAAAGGAGAAGCAGAGAAATTCTTTAAGAAGTGGAATTTTAAAAAAAATAAATAAATAAGGTACTAAATTTACAAACTAATGCAGAATCTGATGAAAGAATTTCTGGTTCAAGGTTCAAAGTTTTTCAGTCAATAGTGAAATATGAATTAAGAAAGGATCCATTTTTACTTCAAAATCTAAGCATATACACAGAAAACAGAATTAAATAAAATTACTCTTTTTCTTTGGTATAATTGATAGCAAAAAGGGTAATGTCCTGCTTTTCAGTTATGCATTCCAAGCAGCACAGAGTATCAATAAACTATTAAAATGACTGTATCATATATAAATACATACATTTACATATAAAGTCCTTAAAATAAGTATGTGACATCACTGAGAAAGAATAACAAATGTATCATCTATCTTTCATTTTAAGGAATTTTAGTATTTTCCTATTGTGTAGAATGTGGGCAGGTGACAGTGTAGTGGCACACTTGTGTCCAGGACCTGGATCTAGGCTGCCTGGATTTAAATTCTGACTTTGCCATTAATGAGTGGGGTGATATACGGTGAGGTTCTTAATTTTCCTTTGCCTTAGTTTCCTCATCTGCAAGTGGTGATCATAATAGCACTTATCTTATAGAGTTACTTGGAAGAGAAAATGACTTAAAATACATACAGCACCTGTAGCAGTATCAGCACATGGTAAAAACTCAATAAATATTAGTCATCACTGTTATTACCACCAAACTACATTGTCTGGTTTGCTTTGTAAATCAGCTAATCATGGGATACAAAGACATCACAAAAGCTGATGTATGTTAGAGTGAAGCACACTGTACACAAGCATTAGGCAACCTAGGCCAATCAAGTTTACATTCCTGGAACAGGGCAAGAACTTCTGTTTGTCTATTTCTCCCTTGCTACCTCAGGAGATTTGTACTAATTACCTCTGGCGCAAAAGTCTCTATTAAAGGAAGCGTCTGATCAAATCTGTTCACTAGGTGACATGATAGTTGAGTTCAGTTTAAGTCAACAGAAAAAAAAATTATTAAGTAGCTGTTTTATACACAGCTTAGCCATTTTTAAAATAAATATAATTCAGTCCTTGTCCAGTTACACTCAACATGAAACAGAAATGCAAAAGAGGAGGCCAGGTCATAACAGAGGTTAAAAGTAACACGATTTGATCTTTTAAAATAAAGATGCGTTGTAAGAACGCAGGATGGAAACATCACGGAAAAGGATGGATTTCTCAAGGTTAAGGACCATGAATTCCATGATTAGTCATTTGAGCTTTCATTTCTAAGCAATAAAAAGCCATTAAGAATTTTGGATCTGGAATATAACATGAAATAACCTTAGTGAGAAACATGGGGTTGGATTGAAAAACTCAGAAATGATTGCCGTTGCACTGATGAAAAATGATGAAGGCCTGTGCTGCTCCTGGGAAAACTGGATCTATTTGCTTTTATTATTAATAAAAGTTAGGCGTGTTGATGGGCTTGCCATTACTTTTTATCTTCCTGATTCTTACAATATTGCCTCTGTACCTTTCTTTCATGGTGAATGCTCCTCATTCAGGCCAACATTGTAGTTTTATTAGGGTCTGGCAAACATAGGACCTTTATACCACCATGGTTTGTCTCAACCACAGGGATAGATGAGCACATGACCAAGACAAAGTCAACCATAATGGGCCCTTCTCCTTCACTATAGTTACTAGTTTAGATATGGACCAATTGAATACCTTCCCTGGGATTTTTCTAATTAGGATAACAGGGAAGAGCTCTCATTCCTCTCTGAATCTGAAGATACAGGACTAACAACTTCCATCTCCCAAGAGTGTATACATTACTGTCAAATCCTCACATGGGAAAAACCTGGCTGCAATATAAGACAATTATGTGAATCTCAAAGAAAAGTCTAGGTGAAAGATAGAGAAATTCTTAAAAAGTTTTGAATTTATACTTCTTATTAGCAATGAGAGGTATCCCACTTTGCCTTTTCTACTATTTGAACAGTTGAACAACAGCTTGTTTTTATTTTTAAATACCAGTTAGAGATGGGTTTCTGTCACTTACAATCACAAATTAAAGGAAGATGTTTTGATGATGTGTTTAAATCTTGATATAAAAACAAATTAGCTTAAAACTGTTTTTAAAATGATGGCACAGACAATACTTGAAAATTTAATCATAAAATGACAAATGGCATCTTCCACCTTAAGAAATAATAAGTGCAGAATTTGAAAATAGTGCTGTAAATAGAAATTAAAACCCATAGTTAAATAATACCTAGATTTACATTGCGTGTGCTTTTTGACAAGCAAATATGAAAGCACTTTCCAATCTTAGGAGAAGCAGTTTCTTCCACTGGATTTCATATATGTTTCCTGAAGAATGAAGTGATTCTGACTTATTTTCACAGAAACAAAGAAGCAGTAAAGAACACTGGTATACTATTTATTATAACTAGGAACTTGACACAACAGATTAGTCTGAGTAAACTACCATGGTGCTGTGTAGCTGGTTAGAATTTAGGTAGACAAGCTGGCCTTCCATTTGAACTGGGACATGTCTTTCAAGGCAGGAAGCGAATGCTGCATTTTTTTTAGGGCTTTCTTCTCATACCAATTTGGCATTTTCAAGGCTGTTTTCAAAAGGTCCACAGTATGTTCTTAAAATAGTTACATAGGTGAGTTTTAAATATATATGCAAATACAAAAAGGGTAGATACATAGATAGTATTTTTAGGCATGGAGTAAGTTTGGTTGATTAGCAACAGTCTTTATTTCATGAATGGTTTTATGACATAAATTTGCCAGAAAACAAAAGAACCTTTAAAAAATCTGAAAGATTTATAATTATGTCAAATCCCATATATAAAAAAATTGATTTTTCTGTTTCTAAATCAGCATATTTTGCATGTCAAATGAGTTATTACCATCACAGGTTGGAAGTGGATGACTCCACCAGTGGTTTTTTTCGCATAGAAGGGGCTCTTCATGACTCAACCTGTATCCTGGATCACAACTAAATGAAACAGTAGAGCCAATGGAGAAATCATGACCATAGCGACGGCCATGTACAGGTATTCCAGGGTCCAAGCAAGAATATGTGTTTACTGTAACACCTAGAAAACAAAGGGAAGAAAATAAAGACTAAGCTTGATGGGGTTAGGATTTGCTGAAAATCATTCCTAATTCTTCAAACAGTTACAAGCAATGATTTTTACAAATAAAGGTACTCGTACTTCATTTTTAAAATCAGCAATTTATTTAGTAAATTTGTTTTTTTCATTTCCTACCATTAAGGATCAAATTCAGGTCATTTAATTATATAAGAACTTGATGAAAATGTATAACTATCTGTAAAATTTTGTATTGTTTTAAATTTTGTGTATATATACACATATATCACAATAATAATCATAGTGATAGTCAACATTTCTTGAATTTATTATATTCCAAGCACCATTCTAAATATTATACAAAATATTCTAATCACTAAAGGAAAAAGAAGAAGAGTAGAGGCATTTTGCAAAGTATGAAAGCATGAACACCAGAACCTAAGAAAAACCAATTAGTACGTTTCCTCTGGTGGTTAACTGTTGCTGTTATCAATAGTCTATAGTACACTTCAGTGTCTCCTGATATCTTCCTTGCAATTTACAATCTCTAGCTGAGATCATGCCATGACAATGTTTTCTAGAAACATTCCTGGCCCCCACTTGTTCGATGCCAGTAGCACTTCTCCAGTCATGACAATAACAAATATCTCCAGGTATTGCTACACATTTCTTGGGGTGCAACAACTCTCAATTGAGAATCACTGGTATAAAGTATACCACGTTATTATTTTTTCTTCCTATATAGGATATTTAAAAAATGAATAACTACGATTTCTATATTCCAAAATTAATCATTAACATTTTTAATATTGTATAATTATATTCAATCACATTTATATGAGAAAATATTTATTTGTATTAGCTACCCAATTCAAAAATGAAGCTAAACAAAATGGTACAAAATAGAAGTTTAATTTTAAAGAGGAAAATTGCACATTTTAAGTATATTTATCAAGCATATTCACTTCATCTAAATGCTGTTATTTTAATGAAAAACTAAAATACAATAGAGACAAATTTATCTTCAACACAACTACTTTTATCTGCTAAGTTCCTCTTCTAAGTGAGACCATTATTTTTCCAAGCACCCAGTGCTTTTTTTTTTGAGACAGAGTCTTCCTTTGTCACCCAGGCTGGAGTGCAGTGGCACAGTCTCGGCTCACTGTGACCTCCACCTGCTGGGTTCAAGCAATTCTCCTGCCTCAGCCTCCTGATTAGCTGGGACTACAGGCACATGCCACCATGCCCGGCTAATTTTTTGTATTGTTAGTAGAGACGGAGTTTTACCATCTTGCCCAGGCTGGTCTCAAGCTCCTGACCTCAGGTAATCTGCTTGCCTCAGCCTCCCAAAGTGCTAAGATTACAGGCGTGAGTCAATGCGCCTGGCCAGTACCCAGTGCTTTAAAACTCTCATTTGTCTTTGACTCCTCACTTTTTTCCTCCACAAAATATGTCTGAAATCCATTCTCATTGAAAAGCATCATGTCAAGTATTATTTCTCTTACCCTATGCAAGGCCCTCATCACCTCAAGTTTATGAAATAAACAATAACATCTAGCATGTTTTTCAGTATCTTTCATCTCCAATTTATTCTATATAAAATGTTGGACATACGTATAGCCAAAACATGTTTTTTCATAGCTTTAATACCCGATGGCTAATGGCACCATGTTCAAAGTCGTCACCCTGAAAATTAAGATTCCCAAATTAGACTTTACTATTCTAAATTTTTGTCATTATCTCCCAGTGGTCATTCTTTATATCAATCAGATAAGTCTCCTCATTAGTTTTACGCTTTGTCTCGTAGGAATACCTTCAGTTGTCCCCTTAACGTACACAATCTTCTCAATCTTTAACAGAAAAGTTTAGATCCCCTTCCTTTAGGTTTCAATTTCCTCCAATGTTCCAGGTTACATATAACTTTCCTTTACATGAAACTCTAACATTGTAGTAAAATCTTCTAAAATCAGAAAAATGGGGGTTGCAGTGGTCATATACAATGTAAATTACAGTAAAATTTAATTATTCAAAAGTGATTGTAATGTTTTTGGTCATTGACCTATAGTAAAGGTCAATGAATATATGGGGTTAATAATTCATTTGCCTTTCTTGGCTTTTCAACTGATAAAGTAAGATGATGTATTTATTTTATGTCTTCCACTGTGCCGCATTGATCTAAGAGTCACAAAATAAATCTAAAGAAATAGTTCATAATTGATTGACAAGCAAATAACTCAAGGCATAATTCAAAGCAATGGAAATGTTGCAAACTTAAGAAAATGAGAAACATCATGATGAACTGATATCAGTATTATTTATTAACAGTCATTATTAAATACTAAAACATAATTGGTAAGTAGTTTTAGAAGATTCCTTTTTTTTTTCTTTAGATGGAGTCTCGCCCATCGTACAGGCTGGAAAGTAGTGGCTAATCCTGGCTCACTGCAGCCTCCACTTTGCTTCCTGGGTTCAAGCAATCAATTCTCCTGCCTCAGCCTCCCAAGTCGCTAGAATTATAGGCATGCACCACCACGCTTGGCTAAATTTTGTATTTTTAGTAGAGACGTGGTTTCACCATGTTGGCCAGGCTGGTCTCAAACTCCTGACCTCGAGTGATACTCCCACCTTGGCCTCCAAAGTGCTGGGATTACAGGTGTGAGACACCACGCCCAGCTAGTTTTAGAAAATTCTTAAATTTTGGCAACGTACATAATTTTCAGAAGTTCATGTCTGCATTTTATCAAATGACATTAACATTTTATCTTTTTCCTTACTGCTTCATAGAGCTTGTTTTTTTTAAAAAGTAGAATCCCCAAATAGACATTTTTCTTATTTATGTAAAAAAATATTTGAACATTTTATGTTTCTGTTTCTACTACTCCTCCCCTCAAATATCTATTAGTCATAAATTGTACATTCTTTTAGATGTCTAACATTTTCCTTAACTGGAAAATATATCTAGACATTCATACAAAAAACTTATATCTGGAGGTGAATATATGTCTATAGGTTTGTTCTGTATCTATTTTCAATTTTAAAATTTGTATAATATTTAGATATCCAAGACTTAATTATAGTCATATTTCAAGCAATACAACATAATAAACAGATGTGATTTTTCCTGGGGAAAAACTACAGAAATAAAAATAAATTATATTCCTAAAGTCTACTTTATGTTGTTATAATTTTAATGTGTTTTGAAACCTATAAATAGTCTTATCTTTTTTTTTTTTGAGATGGAGTCTCACTCTGTCACCCAGGCTGGAGTACAATGGTGTGATCTCGGCTCACTGCAACCTCCACCTCCTGGGTTCAAGTGATTCTCCTGCTTCAACCTGAGTAGCTTGGATTACAAGCATGCACCACCATGCCCAGCTAATTTTTGTATTTTTATTAGAGATGGGGTTTCTACCACGTTGGTCAGGCTGGTCTCGAACTCCTGACCTAGTGATCCACCTGCCTCAGCCTCCCAAATTGTCGGGATTACAAGCGTGAGCCACTGCACCCAGCCAACCTTATCTTATTGATACAGTTTTTGTAATCCCCATGTTTTGAGGGGCAGACAGAATGGGGTAAAAAATGCCTTGGGAAAGGCAATATAACAGAAACTTGGAGTACAAGCCATGGTGGCATTGCAAGCATTCCTTCCTATAGGATTTTGATTGCCTGGGGAAGATAAATTACTTTCACTTTCAATGATATTGATTTTAAAAAAATAGAAATACAGCAAATGCCAAATGTATTGTTAATGTTCTCATTAGTAATCTACTGATTTTGAGGTTTGTGAGTGGTTCATTTGAAAAATACAGTTTAGTTACCTTCAGCTTGGGAAACAGTAAGAAAGAGATGAATGAAAAGACTTTTGTTTGTTTCTTGATAAGAAAGGATTTATGATGTTGGAGATTATTTCACAGGAGTAAATATACCACAAGACTAATAGAAGGAGAGAAAGTGATTTCTTAAAGACAAATTTAAATACAATGCATCTTGCCAGATTTGACCAAATTAACACCAAGTGTGTCTCTAATCAACCTCAACATTTCTGAGCTCTCAGCTTCCACTTTGCCCTTTAAGGCACTAGCCCCCGAAAATAACTTGGACTATGACACTAAGAACTTGTAAATGACAAACGCTAACTGATGGTATGCATTTGAGCAGGCCTTCTTATTTTTATTCCTTATCTGACTAGCTTTTGTAGGAGAAATGTAAAGGCTATCATTTATTGAGAACATACTGCGTGTTACCAGTTATGCTGCATGTTACCAGTTACGCAAAACACTTTGCATGTTTTGTTTCATTTAATCTTTAAAATAGTCCTGTTTCTGATAAAGACCACATACCCTGGGTGGAATGGGATTGGATATGATTTACTGGGTAAAGGATACTACAATGGACTAAAAGAAAAGCTGCCTGGCCCGGCGCGGTGGCTCAAGTCTGTAATCCCAGCACTTTGGGAGGCGGAGACGGGCGGATCACGAAGTCAGGAGATAGAGACCATCCTGGCTAACACGGTGAAACCCCGTCTCTACTAAAAAAAAAAAAACCTAGCCAGGCGAGGTGGCGGGCGCCCATAGTCCCAGCTACTCGGGAAGCTGAAGCAGGAGAACGGCATAAACTCCAGAGGCGGAACTTGCAGTGAGCCGAGATCTGGCCACTGCACTCCAGCCTGGGCGACAGAGCGAGACTCCGTCTCAAAAAAAAAAAAAAGAAAGAAAAAAAAAGAAAAGCTGCCTGCATATTGATATCAATTAATTACTAGTAATGATTAGTTTTGAAGTGGATTTTTCTAAATGACTAATTTGACTCAGGTTTAATAAATACATGCTAGACTAAAAATCTCAGTTAAGGCACTTTAGTTCATTTGAACCCCCACGTATATGTGCATTCTCTTGTTGCATTTTACAATGATTTTTGCAAAGTATACTTTCATTCTACAAAGCTCAGAATAATGAGAAGTTAATATAATTAAACAATACTGTAGATAAGATGATTTTTAAAAAGTAATGGATCTATATTGACAATTATTTTAAAAAACCCATGAGTCCATTGACTATATGTATTGAAGGTAGATGCCCAACAGCAAATATAAAACTATATATTTGAAATGCAGAAATTTCTTCTTGAGGGGGAAAAGGTCATAATCAACTTGAATATTAAAAGAAATAATATAATATCTGCATTTGAAATAAAGACATTTTAATAACCCTCTTAAGTGTGTTGTTAAGATTCATTTATCAAAAGTGCATTTCATGTACAAGTATATGGCTATGCATTCATGATGAAAACGTATGCATATGTAAATTTATATGTTTGCACACATATAAATCTTATGCAATATAGCCACACATGCACAAAATGTTTATAAAGAAAAAAAAGCTCATTTCTGTGTTCATATCAGCATCAAAATTTTTCAAAAATCAAAAATATTTTAGACTTTTTAAACAAAACCATTAGATTTAATAGGGATTATAATGATTCCAACACTCTGAATTATAGCTTATATTAATATAATTTTCTCTACTTACATTAATCATATTTAAATATATGTGTACACAGTTTGCTTTTTAATTTTAATATGATTTTCAGAATTTTATGCAAAATAATAAAATTAAATATTTTAAATGGAAAATACGTACAATCAATGTGAGGAAACTATAAAAGAATAACTGAATTTGTGAAGTAAATGCTAAAAAAGTTATTGTTTATATATCTCAGGCTGGCAATTACTGCTTATACACAAATAATTGGTACACAAACTCATTTTCAAATAATGATTTGATGCTTCTGATATTTCTTTAGTATTTTGCTTCATAATGATATTAGACAGATATTGCTGGAAAATCTATGGCAGAATTTACTAAAACACACACCTTACCTTATAAAGCATTAACATTCTTATAGATGAAGGAAAGTTTTGATTTAAAATAAATAGAGCTACTAGTTCTCTTAGTAAAACTATAATAATACAAAATGTAGAGCAAACAGAATGAGGAAATCAAAAAATTTTATCATTACTTACTTTCATAGTGAATCTTGAAGCCATTATTGGAACGACTGTTGTCTGTTGTAAATAGAAGGTATATAAAATTACTGCTACTAAATAGAAACTGGGGCACTTGGGTGCCATTGTAAGATCCAAGCAAGGGTGACAGAAGATTTGGCCCATCATGAACTTCCAGAACATCATAATTTAGTTCAGTCTGAAATCTAAGGTTAAAAGACACATGTGAAAATAGATTTAGAATAAACACTATATAGGGAAATAATACTTTAGACTGCTATTTAAATTCTTATTTAAAATTTTTCCATTTTATATTGTAATTTTCTTTAGCTTATCTAATATCTAAGATATCATTTAAGACACCATCATTTGTGAATACCAAAGGTATAAGCTCTCATTCCTATGAAAAATTATTATTAAAAAGTTATGTGTATATACTTGTTGTTCCTAAGTAAGATTCTTTCAAATATTATGAATTATCTTTTTCAAATATTATAAATTGTCTTTTAACTGGCCTGTTCATAAACCAAACATATTTTTGGAGTTATCTTTGGTTGCTTTCCTTATTTTTACGGAAAACTATGTGGTTTACATTTATTTTCAATCAGATAATTAGATTCTCATCTTAATAAGATATACATTTCAAATTTGACATCTACTTTTATAATTATTTTTTATTCAAGTGTTTTTTATTGATACATAATTTTATACAAAATTTTTGGATAAATCTATTTCAGCCATTAAACATGTAATAAAGTTTGTATTTGAAAACAACAGTTCTAAGTAGGTGGTAACTAATGATGATACATTTGATGTTTATTAAAGTGTCAGCAGCTCTACTAAAGACTTTATCTACATTAGTTTATGTAATCCTCCCATTAACTCTATGTCGTAGCTGACATTATTGAACCCACTTTCCAAGTAAGAACATCACAGCCTTCAAAACTTTTTTCTTTTTTCTTTCTTTCTTTTTTTTTTTTTTGAGACAGAGTCTCATTCCATCACCCAGGCTAGAGTGCAATGGTGCCATCTTAGGTCACTGCAGCCTCCGCCTCCTGTACTAAAGCAATTCTCGTGTCTCAGCCTTCTGAGTAGCTGGAATTACAGGTGTGTGCCACCATGCTTGGCTAATTTTTGTATTTTTAGTAGACACGGGGTTTCACCATCTTGGCCAGGCTGGTCTCTAAGTCCTGACCTCAAGTAATCCACCTGTCTCGGCCTCCCAAAGTTCTGGGATTACAGGTGTGAGCCACTGCGCCCAGCCACCTTCAAAACTTAAATAGTATCACATTATCTTAAAGTACAGAGGAAGGCATCAAAACCAAGTCTCCCTGACTCTAACCTCTATTCTATGATGTCTGATCTTATCATTAGATTTTTGGTTGCAGTGGGCCAAGATCACACCACTGCACTCCAGCCTGGGCGACAGAATGAGACTTTGTCTCAAAAAAAAAAAAAAAGGGGAAAGAAAAAAAGAAATTGTCAACCTATTATTTGGTTGCTTTGTAGTCAGTCTATTGTGAAGATTGAAACTGGAGTTTCACTTTGATAGCCAGTCAGCTGACAACAGCCATATTAAAATGCACAGAAGAGTCAGGCATTACTTTGAATTGAAACATAAAGAGACTTAATTCTTAATAGCATATCAACATTAACTGGTGATATAAATAACGTGTTCAGTACTGGTGAATCTTTAAAAAGAAAATCATTGCAGATTTGTCCTAAGGAACTATAAAAATACATTCTAATAACAAGCAAAATAGGATAGGGTTACACAATAAATTGAATTTCTTTCATTTTCTGTTTTAAAATAGTTGTATAAATTTCTCATGAATTGCCTCTATCTCGTGTTTGTTTATGAAATTAAATTTATTGTTTATGCTAAACAAATATTATGGTAGCACTAAATGTTATTATAAATGAAATTGGATCTAATCTTATTCAATTTTTGTTGTCTTTAAAAAACATTATTGATGTAATCCAAACCCTTCCTAACCAAATTGAAATAGTCCTCATTAACTTAAAAAAAATTATTCTCTGAAAGACATAGTGATAACATGCACTCAGGGAGCTGAGGATAGGAAAAGGAATAGAAAGATACATTTTGAACGATTGATAATAAAATGAATACGTCTTAGACTTAGCAGCTGCTGGATATTGAGAAAATTTAGAAACTGTGGGAATAAACAAAAACAAAAAGTCCGTTGCAGATCTGAGAGCAAGAATTGCTAAATGTTTGGATATGTTAAGAAGAGGTAAATGGTTTTAAAAACATGTTTGTTGGTGTTACTGCTATTTTGTTTTGTATTTAACAGGAAATCATATTTCTTACAGTTTTATTGACAAGCTGTTGAGACAATCTCAAAGAGAAAATGAATAACACATTTGTAAATAATTTTTTTTCTGTAGGTTAATTTTAATAATTTTCTCCATTTGAGAATACAGAAATAAAACTACAAAATAGCTATGCCACCATCTTAATTATATTATCCGGTTTTTACAAATTTTATTTTCAACACATTTAAATGACTCATGAGTAGTGGAGAGTAAGTGACATGACTCTAATAAATCATTTCTTGGAACCAACTTCTACGACAATATTCTCAGAATAAGAGGAATTATTAAAAAGTTGGCAATGAAGTGTCCTTACAAGGGTTTGTCTGGAAATCAGAAGGGAATTAGATATTTTCAAGAATCTAGTATGTGTTAGATATTTTAGAAATGATATTCTATTTCTCAAAACAATCTCTAGAGAAAAATAAAGCACCAAGACATTATAAGGCCACTGATCAAGGATGTGGTAGACATACTTATGTCTGATTTCATAGTGTCTATTTTATGTTGCTACCCTAATGGATAAAATTCACTTATTTTTTAAATTGAAATACCTTGTTCATCCCTTTGCTACTGAGTTACTGCTAACCATATGATAGCTTTGTATGATGTAGATTATTAAAATAACCGATTTTCTGGCAAAGCACATGGAGTATAGACAGCCCTCAACCAAAATCTCATACCCTTAAAAGGTCTTTAGAAAAGAATAAATAGAAGAAGATACTTAAGGAATTTTTTTCTTCAAATAGCTCCAATTCAATAATCTTATAGGATTTGGGGTGGAAGTAAAGGAAGGGCAAATAGAAAGCTCAAGCCGCAAAAGGAGCATTTATTTCAGTTTACAACAGTTAGAAGAACTTGGGACTTAATTTTATTTTATTTATATAAGGTAGATTCAAAATAAATATGTTGATATAAATGTGTTCTGTTTATTCTAAAATATTGAAAATATCATTAATAAATTCTTAAAGCATTCTAACTCCTGATTATTCCAGTGTTTGGGACAATTAACAAAGAATGATTGTTTAATGATTGGTATTAGGGATGTGGAAGGAGCCATGAGATTACAATTTATGTGAGTGGGTAATTTCATGATTAAGAAATGAGGCACAGTTGACAAGTCTGGCTTGGTGATGTTCATGGGGAAAAGCAAAAATCTTTAAACTGTAGGAAACATTCCTCACTCCAGGCCTATTCTGATCTATTTACAAGACTGATTATTGTTCCTGTGCACAAATCTTACATTGAAAATCACTTTTCAATTAGACTTTCTCGCTTCTAGCCTAATTTAAAAGATTTGTGTCTTAATCAATAGATAAGAGAATAAGAAAGTGGCAGAATAAAACACGCTAAGTAACTCTATTTATAGAAATTAAATTAAGTTTTTGTCTACTTAACTAGTGTTACATTTTATTAAAATGGCTGGAAAGATTTCACCAGAAAGTCAGGTTTGAAATGGTCTAATTTCAAATATAGGCTATACAGTACAAGTGAATTCATTTTGGAGAATTCTAAAGGTATTTAAACAAGATAGGAAAGCAGCAAAGAGGCCTAAATTGGCCTGTTGGAAGGATAGAAGACACATGCTAAGAATTTTGGACAGAGAAAATAGTGCCTTCAATCAAAAGTCCAAAATCAAAAGTCAAAGTATGAATGCTCTCTGAATTGCAGGCATTGTTTGGCAATCAAACTGTTTGTCAAGTGGGCCACTCTAGCCTACTTTGAGCTGAAAGATAGTAGGAGTTTATTTATTTAATGAAGATTAATGACTCTCATTAGCAAATCAGCAGATGCTTTTCAACATAATAATGCACTTTGTGTTCATAAAGCTTAAACTAGTTTTCTAGTTATATTATTTTTGGCTTATATAGTATTTTAAAAATGAATAAGAGAATAAAAGAAAATGTTATTTTAAAATAACATTCCAGTTTCAATTAACTAGAAGGTGGGGAAGGGTTGATGTCTTCATAAGAAAACACTGCTGTTTGATTAAAAAAAAAAAAAAAAAGCATGTTTCAAAAGAAAGGCAAGATCCATTCCTACTCCCCAACTTCACCCAGAAAAACAAATAGTTAAATCACTCTGCATAATAAAGTAACAAATATTTTGAGACTTACCCTGCTATGTACCAGAAGAGGCAGAGGGAAGGGGGAAATGAGGACTGAAGATTCAAGATGCAGAAGAGATTAAAGATGAAGAATGGTTTGGGATAAGAGAGGGTATTGGAGAGATACAAGCAATTATTCCTGTGATGGGGGTTATCAAGAAAATTTAGAACAGTGCAGGCTTATTCAATCTTAAATGACTCTGGATTGTGCCATAGTCCTCTTTCATTGTCACCTGCATTATGGTTTTCATGAGAACGAAAGAAAGTGATACAAATGAAAAGAGTAATGTTGAGAGAGTGCAGCAGCTTCAGTCTCTATTATGTAGGGTGATTCTGGAGACAGTATTTAAATTCAGAATTGAACAAAAGCATCCCCAGACATTCTTTGAAAATTGTAGGAGAGAGTAGATTCCCCTTGTATGTGGGATGGGGGTCAACTCTTTTTACTTGAATATTGAAGGATAATGACTGGTGAAAGTCATCTGGGTGATAGATACTAAGAATGGATACAAATAAAATATGAAAATAACATATTTTCAACTACCTTTGCACCTCCTGATACAAAATAATGTTTAGTCCAAAAGAAGAAATACAAAAATTATGTACTTGACATATTATATCAATATATATGAGATTATTTCTGATAGATTAACAAATACGCTTGTTTTTCAAATGTAAAATACTAAATTTAAAAATTGAAAAATATGGATGAAATACTTGTCCTATTGTTCCAAATAAATACATATCATGCTTTATCGTATATTCCAAACCAAATGTATTTCTGTGTGCTTAAGTAAGGTTGGTTAATTTTAGTTCAACATTCATGGAACAACTATATTGGAAAAATATTTAATAATGAATAAATAAGATGCTTTTCAAGCTTTCTAAAATTGCTATGGCAACATAAGTCATGTAAACCAATAAATAGGGGATATGGTTTCAACAAAATAGCAACAACAACCAAAAATGCCAAATGAATGTAAATGAAAACTTTAAAAATGTGTAAATCATTTTGATGGGCTGAATTGTGTTCCCCCAAATTTCTATGTTGAAATCTTAACCACTAGTAGTACTTCAGAATGTGATAGTATTTGGAGAAAGAGACTTTAAAAAAGGGTAATTAAAGTAAAGTGAGATCATATAAATGGACCCCAATCCAATGTAACTGGTGTCCAGGACATAAACACACACACAGAGAAAATCTCATGAAGATAAATGGAGAAGACAGCCATCTACAAGGCAAAAAGAGAATCCAGAATAAACTGTCTTGTGTACACCTTGATCTTGAACTTCCAGCCTCCAGAGCTGTGAGAAAATTAGTTTCTGTTGTTTATCTCACGCAGTCTGTGACACTTGGTTATGGCAGCCTTAACTAATACAGAAAACTAATATAGCCCTAGTAAACCATGTAGATTATAATAAGATAGTGTTAAATTAAGTTTAGCTTAAAACCTCTTGTATACTTTGAATTCCTGCGTAAGAAAGGGCAAGCTAACTAAGAGTATAATCTTGCAATAAATAGCTGAGTGTCATCCAATTACAGAAGCCAAGTTTCAGTCAATAACAGGCCACCAACTGATCAGATCATATCTATACAAGGCAAATGCCAAGCTGTAACTAATCAAGCTGTTTCTGTATGTCACTTTTTTTTTTTTGGTCTATAAATACTTTCTGCCCACTTGCTATGTGAAGCTCTTCGTGTATACTGATTCAAGGTGCTACCTGATTCATGAATTGTTCTTTGCTCAAATAAACATGATTAAATTTAACTTGTCTAAGGTTTTTAACAGTAGAATGAACCCATGTGAAATGTTTAATACTTTACATCTGTTCAAAGTGGAATCTGTTCTCTCCCATGCAGATGTTAACACTAGCATGGATGGACACATTCAGTGAAGGACCTTTTGAGTTAGGAAAGAATCATATTAGGTTTGTAAAATTCAATCTTCAGTCAATAATAAATATATTCTGCTGTACTTATATGTTTTTCATGTGGCTCTAATGCTTAAAGAAGTTTTTTGTTCACCTGTTTGTTTTTTAAGAAAGGGGTTGGGAGATGAGAGAAGTCAGTGATATAATTGAGAGATTATATAGATAAAGCTATTTTGATTTGTAAATTGTGATTCAATAGCATATGAGAAGTTTCATTCTTTTAACGTTTAAAATATTCAATATTGTAGCCTTTTACAATATAGTTTATTTGATCAGTAATACTAATTTTTCTAGGGGAAATAAAAGGTCAGCTGTTGAACCATTACTACATACTACATGACAGTCATTTTCAGAAGGACTTAGAGGTGAAAGCATATGGATAGCGTGCCTAGGTGTCTTAGACTGCACTACAGTGTTGATTTGAATGTGTTTACGGCACCTTTGCTTCTTGAAAACTAGCAGAGCAGAATTCACAGGCCCTTCAAAATATAGGACAACTAAACTCATTAAGTTAAAGGTCACATGTTCGTATCTTAGTAGTATACACGTACATAAAGCAAAAAGGTCGATCTTGCATATTTCAATAGTACTGATACAGCATTAAACAAATAGAAAATTAACTTGGAAACAGGCTGAAAGGTTAAAGGTGGCAAACAGATGAAAGCATTCAAAGCACAGCAATTTGACTATTACAATAAAATTAAACATTGATTTGGTAAATGCAAAAGAGAATATCAACTAGTCTTTTAGATAATATTTTCTTTAAAAGTAGAAAAAATATTTGTGAGACCTTTCAAATGTAATTTTGATGGAGTGTCCAGGTTCAGCTTCAATCACCCACTCACAATTCAAAGAGTCTTTGTAGTATCCTGGCCATCCTGGTGAGAGAATCACTCCACTGGGAGCTGAAAAATGGCCACCACATGGGGCTGAAAAATTAAATCAGAGAACAAGTAAGAATAAAACATTCAGCACAAATCACAGATATTATTCTTAACACTAAAAATTTTTTAAAACAAATCTCTGCATATCTTTATTAAATAGTTAATACTATTTTTGAAAGTAATGGTACATCATCAAAAATGATGATTTTTCTAAAAAGGTAATCTACTTTTCAAAATATGAAATAGCTGTATTTAGCATAGCTCATCCTTAAGTCCTTAAGTCTATGAATAATACCCCTTACATATGTTCTTGTCTCTCTATCATCATCTTTGTATTCAAAGCTTGAAAGAAAACCCAAGTTGTTAGTTTTGATCTCTTTCTCTTTTATTTTCTTACTTATGTTATCAAATTCTACTAATTCATCTTATACACTAACAGTTTGAACTTCCATTTTCCAGAGTCACTACTATAATTCAAGCCTTCATTGATTCAGCTTTTTACCTTATTTCTCATCTGCTATTTTCTTTCTTACTTTAGTACAGCTGTCAGAATAATGTCCTTCAAATTACAGTTTCATCACACCATTTCCTAGACATCTATCCCCTTTCTTTGTTTTGTATTTTGATCTCTTTTCTTTTTAATATCAAATTTAAATATTATTTATCATTTCAAATATTGTATCCTCCGATTTCCCTAAACTCACACATAATTGAAACCACAATGATAGTATTGCAGTTCCAGTAAGCACTGATTAGATCATTTAGTGTAAACGCTCATTTTGGAGATGTGTAAACCAAGTTTTAGAGAGAGCAAATTGCCAAAGTTCACTATGTTGAAAAGTTTTAAAATCACTTTCAACTCAACTTCTGCAAAACAAAGCCTTAGTACTGACCCTCTTCCATTACTTCCCGTATTGGTAAATGAAACCACCATCTGTCCAGTTGCATAAACTAGAAAGATAGAAGTATTCAGTTTTCATACTTATATTATTTTTACCATTTACTCCCATATCCAACCCATCCGTTACTCCCATATCCAACCCATCTGGGAGCTCGCTCTTGTTTCTCTAGCTCTATGACTTTTGTCTTAGCTTAAAGTACCATAATCTCATCCCTGAGTATGGAAATATCTTCTGAACTGGTCTCTGCATTTACACTATTCTCCATGCTACAGATACAGTGATTTTTTTTTTCTTTTATTTAATTCATAAAGCTTACCATGCCCTTTAGTGACAACTTTCTGTGTTTCCTAATAAGGCTCTGTAGGATCTAGCTGTTACTTATTCTCTAGCCTTGTCTCGGAACTCCCCTTCACTCTGCAGCCCAGCTACATTAGCCTGCTCTACTTTCTGGAAGTATACACTGAAGAGAACATGGAGGAAAGAGTATTTGAGATGTTGAAAATTATCAGGAAAGAAAAAAAAGGCTAAATGTATACTAGATCAACTTTTTAATACATCACTATTCCCAGTATCTTATCACATTATTTTCTTTAAATCTTCCCATTTAAACTCTTACCCATGTGTTTATATTTTTTCTAGCTTATTTCTTTCTGCTTTGTCTTACCAAATTTCTGAAAACAATTGCTCTAGACACTACTTTACTCCTTTTTATTCTTTAAATAACTTGATGGAACCCAAATGAAATAGTAAATATTTATAAATTGGCCTAGGAATTAAACATTACTGTAAAATTTCCATTTTTAGTAAAACATTTTCTATGTGAAATTGCCAAAAGATGTTATTTGTATGACAGAGAACCTTCATAAAAACTAAGTTTTCTTTCTTAGTAGAATTTAATTTCGTTTCCTGAAAAGCTTTTAAAGGAGGCCATTTTCATGAGGATTATTTACTCTTCCTAGTTATGATGACTCATAATTAGGTTTCCTGTAGGGTTATGCATTTCAAAAATGAAATTATGTGCATAATAGTCACGTAAATTACCATACTTTACAAGACAGAGCTAAATATTTTAGTGAGAGAGAGTCCTCAAAGTATGGAGTATTTCTAACACAAATCTTCATTATGTCAGCAACTCATATTGTTCCAGAAAAGCATTCATTCATTCAACCTAATCATCATTAGGCAAGGTAGTCATAAAATTAACAATTGAGTAATGGGCCATAAAGGATTAAAAAGTAAAGTACTGAGAAGCATTCTGACTAGTCACTCAGTGCAAAATGTGAGGGAGGCAGAGTTAAGAGGGGGCTTTAGAGTGAAAAAGTAGCCTAAAGATGTGATTGATTGCTGTTTGTTTCCCAAAATGACTCTCCAGAATAGTGACTCTGCTTGTGGTTCTTCTTCTACTTCTGATATTTTCTGAAGGTGCTACTTTCTCACTTAAAGGGTTGGAATTTCCCTAAATTATTCTTCCAAAAGTATAGGAACCAACTCTCCAGAAGGTCTATGCCCAAGAGGTGAGAGACATGCTTATGTGGGTCGGTCAGCAAAAGTCTCATGATTAAAGTGACCCTCAGGCACATGAGAGGAAAATGTCAGTAAGGAGATGTCACGGTGTAGCAACAGTGGAAGAGTATGGAGTAGATAAAATGCAGGAGAAAGGAGAGACTAAATGTAGAAAAACAAAACAAAGCAAAAAAACAGCTGGAGAAAAATAAAGCTGCCCAGAGTTTTGGAACAAAAGCCTAAAAATACTATTATTATTGTTATTTATTTATTTATTTATTTATTTATTTGAGATGGAGTTTCGCTCTTGTTGCCCAGGCTGGAGTGCAATTGCATGATCTCATCTCATTGCAACCTCCGCCTCCTGGGTTCAAGTGATTCCCCTGCCTCAGCTTCCGGAGTAGCTGGGATTACAGGCATGCATCACCACGCCCGGCTAATTTTTTTTTTTTTTATTTTTAGTAGAGACAGGGTTTCGTCATGGCCAGGCTGGTCCTGAACTTCTGACCTCAGGTGATACACCCACCTTGGCCTCCCAGAGTGGTGGGATTACAGGCATGAGCCACCATGCCCGGCCTAAAAATATTATTAATTACAAATATTTTACCTGTAAAGAAATCTAACTGCAATATGTGTAAAATACAACTAAAAAAAAACCCAAAAAGTTAGTTACTCAAATTTAACAATGCTGCCATATCCATATATTGCCTATGTAGTTAATTATGTACCTACCGAAATTTAAGAAAATCTTATACATTTTTTTAACCAAAAATGAGCTTGTATATCTCCAGGTGTGAAGACACTATACTTTAAAAAGGATTTCTCTAAAAAACAATAACTACTCCTGGCTGAACAAGAAAAAATTGGAATATACAGAAAGCAAAAAGAGGACCAAGGCCATAAAGAAGCATTTTCTTTTCTCTTTTTTTTTTTTTTTTTGAGACGGAGTCTCGCTCTGTCGCCCAGGCTGGAGTGCTGTGGCCGGATCTCAGCTCACTGCAAGCTCCGCCTCCCAGGCTCCCACCATTCTCCTGCCTCAGCCTCCCGAGTAGCTGGGACTACAGGCGCCTGCCACCTCGCCCGGCTAGTTTTTTGTATTTTTTAGTAGAGACGGGGTTTCACCGTGTTAGCCAGGATGGTCTCGATCTCCTGACCTCGTGATCCGCCCGTCTCGGCCTCCCAAAGTGCTGGGATTACAGACTTGAGCCACTGCGCCTGGCCAAGAAGCATTTTCAAAGTCCCATTCATTCATTCGTTCATTCATTCATTCATCTTTTATTCATTAATATTTCAGTTCTTCGACATGCCATTGTGTGGCAGGTGTGTGCTTGTGTGGCATTTGTACTACTTCTACAAATGAACATTTATGGAATGCTTTCTATGTGTCAGGCACTCTTAGATTATTTTATATAATGCTCAAAATAATCTAGCCAGATAAGAAAACTGATGTGTAAGGAATTTAAATAATTTGCATCTGAGCTGTCAAGGATTTGAACAAAGCCAGTTTGACTCTAGAAAAATTCTTTCCAACTGACATTAAGATAGTCTTTTTCCTCTCCTCACAGTGCCCATGGTGCAAAAGACAGAAACATTAACAAAAGGTAAAAATGTCAAGTTCTGTAACAAAGGTATGCCCACAGTACAAGGGGCCTAGAAAAGGAAATGAATACATGCTTCATAGAAGAGATTATGTTTAATTTGAAGAGTAAACAGGATGAACTCAAGAATGAGTCAGAATTCACCAACAGAAAAACTGAGGGAGGATATTGTAAATGAAAGCAACATCACATGCAAATGTGTAGAGGATTGAGTTAGCATAAAGTAATGCAAATACCTTTTCTAGGGAATAAAGAAGTGATGAGAGAAGATTAGAAAAGGAGCTGGTTTGCCTCCAGTATGGAAAGTGAACCATTGCAATTGAAAAATTATTGACAAAGGACACATACATATATACATATACAGACAAAGGATAAGATTTTCATTTAAACAAAACTTTCATGTAAAATAGATTGCAGCACTACACCTGGATTTAGTGAGATCAGTTAGGAGATTGTTACAACTATCTAGGAAAGGCATTATCAGATTCTGAAATAAGGCTATAGCAGAGATAGGCAGAATGTGCAAGGTATTTACGAAGGAGAATCAAAAGCATTTATTGAAGTGCAGAGAGTAACTCTGAGGAAGGAGTCTCAACCGGTCCTTGAGCCCTTGGCATGTGCAATAGGGTGGACGGTGATTCCATTCACCAAAATGGGAAACACGGAACAGGGAGGGGCTTCATGCGGAAAGTTAATGAGATTCAGTGCTAAAATGGAAGGGTCTACGAAATATCACAAGAAACAAGAGAAAATAAAATCTGGAGCTCTTAGCTATCTTAGGGGTGATTTTCAAAATTGGTTGATGTTCAAGTTTCCACATAGGTTGAAGGTAAAGGTGAATTTAGAGGAAAAGATGAGAGATGATTGAATATGCAACCCTTTGAAAAAAGTTTTAATTTAATAAAATTAAGTAGGTATTGTCCAATAGTTAGTATATCACTACACTGAGAAAAGGGCTGAGATGAATTATTTGTTTGGGTCTTCCTCTCACCGAAGTGTGTGAAGTGGGATAACTTTAACAAGTAAAAATAATAAATTCTTA